ATTTTAATGGTGTTTTGTGCATTACATGAAGTTTGAAATTGAATTTTTTATTGACTTTTTGGATTGTGAGGCATCTTTGAAGCAATAACCTGCAAGAAAAAAAGCTTTACAAATACTGACTTTTGTACTTTAAGCACACTTTTCTTATAATTGTCCTGTTTCTGAGTTTAATGGCTGCAATTCTTTATAATTTATTCATTTATTATTTTATTGTTATCTATAGAAGCTTCAAATAAAAATCTGAACATTTCTATTGTTTGTGCATTACTGCATAAACAATATAATAGAGTGTTATAATGCATTTTTGTAATTAACAGTTATGGTTTAAAGAAATACTGTTCAAATGATGAGTAAAAACAGGCTTTTTGAACTATAGATACTATATGATTAAGGAATAACTGAGTAAATATAAATGTCATTACTATACATTTTAATTCTTTATTTAGGATTTGTACAGTTATGTTCACTGGGTTTGTTCTTTTCATCTAAATCATTTTAAACTTTAAAGTTTTCTTGTTTGTTTTTCCAAAAGGGGGGAACAAAACTGACGGTTTAATTATGCAGAAAATGAGATGCTGTTGGAGCCCGTTCTTTGTGCATTTACCAAGAATATTTCAGTGGTTAATGTTTTAAAGGACATCCAGTGCCAACTTTAGTCATTACTTTGTGAAACTGTTTTGCTCAATAAAAAAATACTCTTAAATATAAAACTGGAACAAATTTGGGCGCCCAGATTAGATTTGACAACAATTCAAATACTTTCCGACATCTTAACTTTGCTCCACATCATCACCCAATCACATATTTGTAGCCTGAAATACAGAAATAAAAATAATCCTGCGTCCTGAAAGCTGGAAGAGCAAGTCTGGCTTCTCAGATTTGTCAAACAGCAAAACTTCAACTTTGACTGGAGAAAAATTCAATCAGGAATTTTTCTGTATCAAAATCTGAAAGCCTCAAATCAACGTAATTTCAATGATTTACAGTCCACGATGTATACTGGGCCTTGGTGCAACCCCTCAATCATCCTCTGTGTGACACAAGCTAATTTAGCTCTCCTTTAAGCTAAACTTCTTCTGATTGGCTGTCCCTCGCAAACAAAAAGTTCAAATAGCAAAGTTGGGTGGGGCTTCCATGACCATATTAGGCTCTTTTTTCAAGTGCCTAGAGAGAGAAAAAGAAAACAGCGGGCCCAGCTCACGATTCCACCACAGCAGCCTTATAAGCAGCCTTCAGGTGGTTTGTCAGAGTTCGAGCTGCACCAGTCAGAAGTGTTTGCTTTTATTCTTGCCTCTACTCCTATGCGGTCTTCTTCTGAGACCTCGGTGTTCGGGTTTGGGGGTATAACCTTGGTTTGAGACAAAAATACACCCTTTTAAGATGTATAACACATCAAACAAAAGTTTCTGACCATCCCTCGGTCGCAGTGGTTAGAGGTATGTCCATGGTCTCATTTCAGATGCTGAAGGAGTCCTACTGAACTCCACTGAACAAACCTTCACCCTGAAATATGGATAACCAAAGCTAATTATTGTGACCAATCCACAGTATGTGACATGTTAGGAGGAACTGTTTGAAAGGGGAGTGATTTCAAGGACATATTTTAATGGTTCGATTCAGTGAAGAAACTTTGGCATTTCAAAGTTTTGCATCATTTTTGTGCTAAAATAGAACCAAAGTGATTTACAGCAGTTATTAAACCTGCACTAATAAAAAAGCATTAAAATTATGTGTAAATCAAACAGTACAAACTGTAATAATTATGTTAGTTGTGGGTCTGAAAAGTAAAGCAGTTGCGGATTTCTTAAAACAACTGTATAGAAGTCCGTGAAAGTGGCACTCAGCTCGCTCCCGATTAATTTATGGTCTCAATGGCTACTTTCAAGGCTCAAAAATTAAGAAGAGAAAAATCAGTTTTACAATTTGCTTGTGTGGCTTTAACAAATGAACGTGCACTGTCCTGAACTTCAGAACAGGTATTAAAACACGAGCAACATTTTTTAATTAAACATCTTCTAAATTTTCCCAATATAATTTGTTATTTTCTAAAACTCAAATCAGATTTTGTTTATTTTAAACTTTTATAAAGATGTTTTTGGATAAAGAAAAACTACTGTGTATAAAAGTTTCATATACTGTAACCCGGTACATGCTTAGCCTTCCCCTGGCTCAACCACTTGACTTCATTATGTAAACAACACACAGTTTACATGTCACTCCTCAGTCTCAAATTGCCCAGCCAATGCTTTCAAGCAGCACAGACCTTAATTATTCATTCTGTTAGTGACATCAGCATCTGAGAGCCTGCAGGAATCCATGTCAGCTGCTCTGCTGACGGGACAGTTGTGAGAACGAATGAGTGTCCGTCACGCTGCAGCGCCGTTTTAGCGCTCCATGTGTGAAAAGGATAATGGTGTAGGTCAAGAAGTTCAAGTTTTGGAGGGCACCAGCTTCATTTTCCACCTCCCCGTGTTTACGAAGCTTAATCTCACTCAGACAAGGGAGAAACTTAGGACACTCAAGGGTGTATTCATTCAGGTAAAAGCCCAAAGCGTAGCAACTGCTGCCAAGAGCAACGCTAAATGATGAGACTTGAGTGGAGCAGCATTAGGGCGATAACCAAGCATCCAATAAATTACGTGTTATGTGACACAAGGGGGCCATTGCAAATAGGTCTTCTGCAACAGCACAACAAGGATCTTTAAAAGGCCGATCCCACGCAGCTCCGTGGAATTACACGCCTGTTTTTCAGCCTTCAGATATAGAGCTAATGATTTAATACTCATCCAGTGAAAGCTTTCACACTTCCTGCCCAGAACACCTGATACTTTTGGTAATTCCCAGAAATATTTATAGTGTATAGGAAGTGATGTTTCCCAGGACCAATGGGTTATAGGAAAAATTACTCAATGCCCACGGTGCTCATTTCACATTGTTTTGAGGTTGGAGGAATTACACGACCGGAGGAGTGATCAGCCAAAAACGTCAGCTTCCTGCATATAAACCTTTCACTGCAGTCACAATCACCAAGTGGAAAATCCTCAAAAGCCCCATAAAGGTTTCTTAAATGATTGCAAACAAGCAAAGATTAGTCCAATAAGGTGTGGGAGTCACTGTTGAGCATCAAGAAGAATAAAATGAACTGCAGGTAAAAAGGTGCGTGTTTGTATAAATGTGCAGAAAACCACCTGTCAGGCTTATTTACACAGTCCGAAACGCAGTTTTTCTATTCATTGCCTCAGAGCGATGTTTCAAGCACATCTGTCATGGATGTTACCACATCTGCACGAGACTGCAAGTTTTGATTTTGCTGCTATTAAAACATTTTAAAACAAGACGGATTTATGGAAGAAAAACGCAGAAACTGTATTTGTCAGGAAACACAAGAGCATGAAAAAACCCCACATAAATAAATAAAAAATTCTTCAGGCTTTGTCCAAAAAACTTAAAATGACCTAAAAAAAACAAAACAATAAATGATAGAGTCACAAGTTGTCTTGTTATGTGTTGAAAACATCCAACCAACGTCACTTTGTAGGCAGTAAATTCAGATCTTTCTTTGGTTTAGTCTGATCGTTTTCTATAGAAGCTTTGTGTGGATGTATGAAATGTAATTTTCAAATTATGCTCTCACATAAAAGGGATGACAGGAGCCCTCTCTGAACATTTATTTCAAATGCATGAAAACAATGAATCAATACAGACGAAACTATAAACACGAGAACAAACAAGGTTTCCTTCAGTGTTGTTCAATGAAAACTCAAGAACTGAAAGTATTTTCACATATTTTTTCATACATTTTCTTGGCGCTGTTGAATGAGAGCAGTGAATAATAAGGTTTTTGTCAAAGTAAAATAAAAAATAAAAGATTCAAACCCTGAAGCTCTGTTGAAAAAATTATTTTGAGGTGATTTCAACCAGAATGAGAAAATATCAAACTATTGAGTTTGTGAGGTGAAGAGAAGCACTTCCCAGTGCTCGAAAATCACCGGACCATCCTTTTTTTGTTGTTAGAGAATATTAACTTTATGAACTATGAAATTCAGAAAACATGAAAAAAAAAACCACTTAAAAGCTTTTTTTTTTCGAGTACAGTGAGCTTTGAGGCTCATCGCTCGAGATCAGGGTGGGGAACTCCAGGCCCCAGGGGCCGGTGTCCTGCAGGTTTTAGATCCCACCCTGGGTCACCTGAATCCAATGATGAGTTCATTACCAGGCCTCTGGAGAACTTCAAGGCATGTTGATGAGGTAATTTAACCATTTAAATCAGCTGTGATGGATCAAGGACACATCTAAAACCTGCAGGAGCCCGGCCCTCGAGGCCTGGAGTTCCCCACCCCTGCTCTAGATGCTGCAAGATTAGGTCAAAGACTTTTCCACACTGCTTCTCGAGCACTGCTCTATGAGCCACCTGCATATCCACCATCAGTCCTGAGCTGAACCATGCTTTAGTTACATTTCGTAGGCTGGTAAACGTGACTTCTTCCTCCCCACTATCACTGGGTGCTGCTCACTGGAGGCTATCCGACTGTCGGGTTTGAAAACATGTTAAATACACTTCATCATCTGTGCCATGCAGAAGCCTCAGCGGAGATGATCTGTCTGCACAGACTCACGATTTTGGGTTTTATATCTGAATTTTATATCTGATTCAAACAGCCTTTAACTCCAGTGCAGCACGATGTGTGCATAGACTGTACATAAAAGATGAACGTAGCCGCCGTAAAGTCCTCCTTGTTTAATGAGACATCACTCAAACGAGAGGTGGATCTGTTTAAGAGACCTTGCATGTTCTATAAAGATGTGAAACTAGCCACTGAACCCATAAACATATAGCTTTTGTTTACTATAGACACTGTAAATTAATTATGCCAGTGTTGCTAGCAAGCAGCTAACTGTAGTAGCATAGCAACACTTATTAAACCATCCAGGACGAAACATCAGTGAGATATTTAATCCAAGTACCGATAAGATTATCTTTAATAATGAAGAAAACAGTCTTTATGAAAAAAGGAGCTTTAATTGATAGTTGTCAAAAAGCCGATGCTACTGAGAGAAGAAAAACATTACACAAAAAAAAGAATAAAAGTAATTCTGCTGGTTGCCATTCTGACCAGTAAAGATACAATCTGGTAAATTGAGAACGTGTCAGTGCTACCAGGAGCTGAAGTCTCCGAAGCTGGTTTTGCCTTTGGACTTCTTGGCTGCCGTGCCGCTGGTGGACGGACCGCTTTCATCTTCAGCAGCTGAACGTTTTCTGAGAGAAAAGAAGCAGAATATGAACACACGAAGATCCATTTACATATTGCTTCTTGCAGATACTTCTTTGATCTTTCTTGTAACTCTGTTCTTTGTAAATTCTGTTGTGCATGTCCTTGTCTGCATGCTGGGCTCATATTTTCAGGCATTTCTTCTTAGTGAAAGTAAAAGTCAGCCCAAAAAAGGGGCGGTGGGGCGTACCTTCAGTCTTTGTGGCCTAAAAGCACTGCTGAGTTTTCTGTTGATCGATTCATTGACAGATTGGCCTGTACATTGTGAAAATACATTTAAAAATGTTTTAATGTTTCTAACGGTTCCTTAGAGACTGAGGAAATGTCCCGTTTTGTCTGGTAAATGGACGAGTTCTTATATGCTGCTTTTGTATAACTTATTCACACCAGGACGTTTTTCTACAAGCGCTTTCTATCCAACATTCACACTCTGATGAATGAATTGGAGAGAAAAATTCATTCAACTACTCATTTGATTATTTTTCCACTGTGACACGATAACAGTTAATGTTATAAACCTCAGGCTACAGTCCCACACACTGACATGAATCTGCTCCGCAGTCTGATCGTCTGTGGGACCACCGATGACCACCGGCATCCTGATACCTTGTGGTAGCGATATAATAGCCTAAACCTTTACCTGTCTCTCCTGCGTTTTGCTATCAAACAAACAAACAAACAAACAAACAAACAAACAAACAAACAAACAAACAAACAGCTGGTGGAAACCAAGTTAAAAAGAAAAACAAATTCAACCACATTATGATCCAAATCAAAAATCAAACCACAGCTGCAGCACGACTACTCACGACTGCTTCTTCAAATTTTAACTAAGCGCATTATATGTTAACACAGTTAAAAGCTTAACACGATAGATTAAAACCCCCCAAAAGAATGATCCCATAAAACACCATAAGAGGCCCTTTATGGACTAATAAAATAGAGCCAGAGGACAAAACTCTATTGTTTGGATCCATCTGTTTTATAACCCAGCGACTGAGCAATTTGAACAGAAAACTTGAGCAATAAAAAGTTAAAGTTATTCTAAATATTATGCCAAAACATGTGAAAACAAAATGAATATCAAAAATATGTTATGGATAATAACCCTGAATTATCCCTGTGGGGAAAATTGGCAATTTCATACAATATGCCTATTCCCATTCTCTCTTGCTATGCTGCTATATAATCATACTTTATCATCCATTCATTGCTTTCCACTTTCTCTAGTCTCTTACATCAGACGGTGAGAAAACGCTGCAACTTTTTAATGTAAATTCTGTCAACGGGGTGGAAAGAAACACTCTTTAACTCGTGTTTGTGCGCTTGCAGCTTTCATAGTCTCGCTGGTGCATATGAAGAGTCGTTTCTGCATTAAAAGCACAGGGGAGACTGTAGTCATCTGTATTCACGTGTGTTCCTTACATTGTGGCAGGGTTGATGTATTTTCCAACACCTGCTTTGAAGGTTTTTGGCGCCTGCTCCTCCTTGGCTTTCTTCAGGGCGATGTTGGCCTGCTGTTTCTCCTCCTCCTGCTTCTGTAGCTCCTTTTCTCGCTCCGCAGCAATCTGAGAGGCAAAAATCATGTAAATCCACACAAAACTCACAGGATAGTTTGAATAATCACTCTGACACAGGGCTGCCAGGTTTGTCAATATAAGAGCTGTGACCTGACACTCCGTGAGCAGACCTATAAAAATCAAAAAGCTTATCTGCTTTACATTCCTCCGATCTCCTGTTCAAGGTCAACATCTCAGTCGTGTCCAAACAGCTGCTATTTTTAGACTGCTGACTAGAAATCCATGCTGACTACTTGCACTGCACATTCTGAAGTTTACAGTCCGCTTCTTTTTCAAACTGACTCGACTTTCGAGGATCATCACCGGCGATGAGAGCTGGCTACAGTTTTCAAGCTTGAAGGTAGCCTGTTGAGAACAGGAGCAAGCTCCTCATCATTTTTAAATCGATTTTTACTGAGCTCTGCACCACAAGAGTTTCTCGATCCTGAGGCATCTGAAGGAGAACGTTAGAGGAAACCAATGTGATCTGTGGCGCTGGTCAGTGCTGGCGCAGACTGTGTGAGAGGCCTCGAGCTCGAGCAGAGGTGGGAATTATCTTTACCAGCCAAACGAGGCAGAGCGCGATGGTTCTGAATAAAAACTACAAACTTTTAAAACTGCTCAAAAGAACAAACTTTTCAAGAGGTTAGCACCATCACTATTGGGCAACAAGCAAACCAACCCCCAAGTGCCACACTGTACACGCCTGTACACCTTAAGCCCCTCCCACAGGAACTACTTTATCTACACAGTTGGCATTTTCATTTAAAAACTCGATAAGGGAATTCTAGACTTCTCAGAAACACAAATTCTTAAGTTTGAAAAGAGCACAAAGCTGTTTCCCTCTGAAACGCCTCTACTTTAAAGATATTTATGGTTTCACAGTCACGTCATAGAGAAAAATCCAAACCTGTGCATCAGCTTCTTCATACGGGTCCACGAACACCGTCGTGCTTATGATCTTGATCTCCGACTGTGGAACAAACAAACATTGAAGCATTAAATGCAAAAAATTTTATTCACTGATTTAACTTTAAGCTAAACTTGGAAAACTGCTGCTGGATTTCTTTGTTGTGTACAGCTGTTTCCTACGTTAAACACAACTCTCCCTGCATCGTTTCTAGTCCTGGTATCTGACCTTCAGATGATCTGTGTATCCGTGGCATGACGTCTTGTTCTCCTCAGCTGCTTTTAATGTGTCCGATCCAGAAACTTGAACTCATTTTAAAACTACAGCTCAACCATTTAACATGTAAAAAATCTGACATACAACAAACCTGTGGAGTGAGACGTCTTCTCATACATTTACAAGCAACAGCCAACCTTATACTGCTTCATACCTTTGGTTTGTCTGTTTTGGCATCGCTCTCCACGTTCTCCATGGCTGTGAGAGTCTCAAATCCACCGACCACCCTGCAACAGAGAAAAAACACAACACGTCCTTCACTTTATACGCTGCCGAGTCCTGACAAAGGTCCCCTCATGCCGACCTTTGCCAGGAAGAGGATCGTATCCGTCATAAAACATATCATGAAAATGTAGCCGTGAGAGACTCAGACTGCTGAATAATTCATTCCCAGTTTTACCATTTAAAATGACACATCCATGTTAAGAGTGATGTGATGAGAGAGAGGAGCATGATGAAGCTTACATCCCCATGAGCTGATCCATCTACATTAAGAGAGCTGAACTGTGATTGCCCTGCGCTCACCTTCCACTGCAGGAGGGTGTTTGACTTTAACCTTCCTTTCTGACTGATAATGGTACCGAGTCGATTCATATCACACCTGTAAACACCAACAGATTCCAGGACTTTAACCTGCAGCTTTTTTAATAGCCAGTCACTGTCCGGACTGACGTGTGGGCTCGGTCACTCCTGGACTGACGCCTCTCACGTCCAGTTTCAGAACACTTCGAAACGAGTCTTCACAAACCAACGGGCGACATGTTTCATACATCCATGTGTTATGGATCAGCACAGTGCAATTACACAATGATGATGTATATTCAGGCTGGGAACCTATTTCATCATGAAAACCCATCAGCTGGGATTCTTCTATCGGCATCGCGAGTCAGTAACGGAGGACGAGCTTGACTTGATTTGTAAAACTCTTTCTTTAGCTTGCATTCAGCCTTCAGTTGCTCCCCTGCTCGTCCTGTTGACCATTGGAGTGACTATTTGTGGGTTTCTAACACAGCTGTATGAATGCCAGCATCATCATCTTATTTGTAAGGTTATGACTGCTACAGATGCCAAACCTCACACCAGGATTTCTATAATTTTGTACTGGCAAATTAATTTCAGCTTATTAGAAACTCTGGTGAGCCTTTCTGGAACTGGAAACGCTGCAGTTTCCCATCGTCACAGTTAATCGACTCAGAGTTTAGGTGGAGACTCTCAGGCCCCTGAGAGGTATACGACAAAGGAAGTTCAACACAGCTGGACCATTTTGTGTTAGCTGGCTTAACAAAACCTAAAACCGCAGCTTTCAGATGGTGGTTAGAGGCAGCTTTCTGCTTCAGGCTTTGTGCTTGTTTCACACATCAATCCTTATGAGCGCTGCCTACTCCAATCAGACATCATCAAGTGATGATGATAAAATATTATAGTCAAAATATTGTAAATAAGAGATTAACGCTGTAGAAAATTGTTAAATTGTTGGGAGTTAGTGCACAGAGCGGAAAAATAAATACTTTAATTCAAGTTAATATATTCTAATTTTACAGTTTATTTGTAACTTGATACCTCTACATTAGGGCTCTGAAACTTTAAGCTTTATAAGTAAAATTATATAAATATTAATGAATACTGTTCTCTACGAGATGTGGAAATTACACACTGGTTTGCAGCTGGGTTTGATTTGGTGGTTTCAACAAGATGCACATATAAAACACGTGTTTACATCAGATAATCTATACAGCGCTTAAAATCATGCTGTAATCAGTGAAAACATGGCACCTACAGACAGCTTATACTGAAACTCTCTGATGACACAGAAAAACAATTCGAGCATTAATTAAATATAGAATAAATATATATACATGAAGTCATCGTGAAAAACAAAAAGGTAAACATGAATTATGATGCCAGTGTGTCACGCAGCTTATAACCTCCTTAGTGAATGAACATCGTCTGCACATGAGGACAGCTAAACAAGCTGTGAACATCAGCAAACAGCTGCTTTTTCAGTTTAAACCTATAGAAACAGAACAGTGTTTATATGGAGTCAGGCTCTGAATCGAAGCCCAGCACTCACTACAATTAATTCTGCTTTTAGACACTTCCAACTCCTGCTGGAAAAATCTGGCTTTTTGGCTGATAAACACTCAACTAACCCTGTCTGCCATTTATTGCAGAGCATGTAAGGTATTCAGAAGCATTTTGAGCATTTTCTGTTAAAAGGCTGGTTTCTGCAGGCAAAAATGACTCAGGGAGCAGTGAGTGTGAAATAAAATGGAAAGGTTTAGGTCCAGGCAGCCAAACAAAAAGCTGACTCGCTGATAAAGCTCAGTGAGGCCAGGAGGAGCTGCAGGTTTAGCTGATAACACTCCTCACTGGATTCATCACTCGAGCTTTGTCACGTTGTTTTGACGTAGTCAAGAAGTTGCTCTCACTTCACTCTTTAAACTGCAAACTCTTTCTCCGGCTGCTTTCATACGTTCAGGCGAACCGATGAGCACAAACACCTGATGACTCGCTGACCTGCGGCATCAGATCAAACTGTAGCGCTTTTAACTTTTTTCCTACCTCCCGGTGACCCGACACATTGTTTTTATCTCTAGGCCTTCCAGCTCCAGCCTCTTTTGCAAATTTACATTAAGGTATAAATTAAGATCCCACCTGTCTGCACAACAGGTACCTGCAATGTGAACAAACATCCTCTATATAAAGGTACAAAGAACCAGCGTTATATAATCGATTTTCAAAATAAAATCATTTGCCAGATAAAATAACACAGAGGTGTTTGGGCTAATCCAGCGAATGACAAATCATCACAACATCACAAACACAACAACACAAAGCACTCCCACTAATCATTTTTACAGGAAAAAAACGCTTCATCAATTAGTGAATTAAAATTAAATTAATCTGAAATACTTCTGACAATAAAACGATCCTGTCACTTTACAGGAAAAAAATATTGTGAAGCCAGAATTCACATGCAGATTAATAATAATAATCGATTAACTGAGAAAATAATTAACAACAAAAATTCACCGTCTCGTAGCTCCACTACCTAACATGTCGAGATAAAACCAGAGAGAGTCATAGCAACAACAGTATACTGTGTACTATAAAGAAAAAAAATAATGCACACAAAAATATATCATAAGTCAACCCAGAAAACGTACCAGCTCCAGACGAGCCCGACAGAGTTTTTGTTCTGTATATAAAGTGCAGTGAATTAATAAAATGTGTGTTTGGAGTGCTGGCGCTAAATCTGAACATCCCTCATTAAAACACAGTCAGAGACGTTTGTTGCATGTCAAACCCCAAAATTTCTGTCTTTCTTCTAATAAAGGAAGAAAAAAAATCGTAACATTTGCAAAAAATGCTAATAAAAGAAACCAATGAGCTGCATGAGAAAAAAAAAAAAAAAAGACTACACGAAGTGATGCCTCCGTGTTATACGATTCATTATGGTCAAGCAAAACAAGACATTTTAAACGTGACCCTAGACGATGGAAAAATAATCTATCCATCACGGAGCTAAACATTTAATCACTTACAAAAACTAAAATGTATAAAGAAGCAGTCTGAAAGTGTGATTCCCCTCAATCAGAAAACACTGAGGATGTGGTCGCACATCATTAATACGAGCGTTATATCTGTTTCTTTAGACATTTTTAATTTTCCATTCGAAATCATTTATGCAACCCATGAAGGTTATTTAATAAGATGAAGTGTTTCCTCATCAATTAAAAACAAACACATTATGTTCAGTACTAGAACAATAATAAATATTCTTGACGACCCTGCAGAAACAGTGTCCTCTGTAAAGTACCTAAATAGATCTGGTTTGGTTGCCTAGGCCTCAGTTAAATGTGCAAAGACACTGGGTTAGGCGGTAAAAAAAGCTGCTTGCAGGGTTAAAACTGAAGCTTTTATAGTGTGCCGAGCATCTAAAGAATCAGCCTGTTAAAAGCAGTCTGAATATTTTTAGACGACAGTCAAGGCTTTTTGCAAAAGACGACCATTCGCTTAGCAGGGAGAGCGAGAGAGAAAGCCATCAGTTTAGGTTCAGCATCTCCTAAATTTTTCACCGCTTTTGACCAGAAGTCAGTTTAGAAGTCAGAGTACTGGGACCACGTGTATGAAAGATAATATGAGAGGAGAGATGGAGAGATGAGGAAGAACATGCAGGACTGTTGCCTTTCACACCCAAATAATAAACACATAGACACAGTACACACATACAGTGAATATGATAACACTTAAAAGGCAGATTTACCTTCCAAATACTGAGTGCTTCCTGTCGAGGTAGGTGCACGATCGAAATGTGATGAAGCTGGAGGGAGAATTTTAAAAAAAAAAGTTACACAAGTTTTGGAAATAGCAGCCAGCCTTATTTTACAAAATATGAGAAATACCCTTCAATAATACACACAGGCTAAAAAGGCTAAAGCAGGGAGGTTTAGAAGACTGGAAATAGTGGAAACAAGGAACTGTGGAATATTAGCTGAATGATCAGAGAGCTCTTTTGTGACTAAATTGGCCCCAGTTGGCTTTTATAACAGATATTTAACACTAAACAGCAAAAAAGTAAAAGGAACTAATGGCTGTGCTGTTAACACGAGTTTCTGTGTACGCTCAGCAGAGACAACGACACAGACGAAACACAACATAATTCCCTGCCAGCTGACTTTCTGGGCAACTGTTCTAAGTTTAGGAAAAATATGTCTTACAACTGAGATTTGTTGGTGTTTGGACCAGAGTTTGCCATGCTGAGAATCCCCCGGCCGGTATGGGATAGGTTGGGACGAAACTCATCCTTGAAAGGTTTTCCCCAGAAGGATTCGCCTCCTGAGGATGGAGAAAGAATGACCGAGAGAAGGAAAACAACAGAAAACATTACGTCACGATGGAAAACAACAGAAACAGTCAAGTCCTTAATAACATATTTGCTTCAGAGTCCTAATTGATGTGCAGTTTTAACACTTTCTTGCACTCTGGCAACGTGGCTGAAAATGTTTCTGCAGGTAAAGCTTCAATATTTGCTCAGGCTAAACCTTTTACACTGCAGACACTGGGTCATGTTAGCAGCAACTGTTGACGGATGCTGTACATCCTGCTGTCCAGCTTTCAAGGTCTTGGGATTAAGCATCCTGGCTCACTGGCTGTTTACTGGGCACTATTCACATTTTGAAGATATATAAGTCTGAGGTAAAAAGTAAGCAAGTAAAGTAAGTTAAATATATTTATATAGCACTTTTCTCTCTCATATCCATCCACTCATTAACCACAGAAGGCTAAATAATTACCGATATTCTCTCTTCACGCTTTAGAGAGAGAAATAAACTCAGCTGTGTTTGTGTGGGTGGACGGTGACCTCCTCCCCACCAGGACAAAGTTGGTTTTGGTTATAGCATGGCTGCTATATGGAACCCAAATCATGCAGAATACATGGTGAGTGAATGATTTAGTAATACATTTTAGAAAGACTGAGTATGGTCATACAACGTTATATTTATGTTTTGGGGGGGTTTTCCTAATTTGCGCACTACTTTTTAATATACTCTAGTTCACTTCTTCTTGCTGAGGCTTGTACTGCTGTAACATGAGGAATTAATAAAGCCCTTGTATGCCTGACGAGTTTTTTCTTCGTTTAGAAAGTAAATCTAAATTAACCCGGGTCCAGTTTGGGGCTGGCAGCCGTCTGAGCAAAGACATGATATCTCCAGTGTGTTCTGCCCCAGGGTTTCCTAACCGGGGTTTCCTCCCGCTCTGACTCGCCTGAAACACCTCTCGTAGGAGGAGCCCCAGAGGCATCTTAATCAGATTCCCAAACCACCTCAACGCGTTGCTTTGATGTGGAGGAGTAGCAGCTCTGACTCCCTTCCACTCCTTCACTTAGGCCAACAAGTCGTTTCTGCCTGAGAACCATGGTCTCAGACTTGGAGGTGCTCCTTCTCATCCCATGTGCTTCACACTCAGCTGCAAAGCGCCCCAGTGAGAGCTGGAGGTTGTCGTTTAATATAATCGAACAAACCTGTGAAAATTATTAACCGAGCTGGTGACAGAGGACAGTCCTGGCTAACTGGGATAGAGTCCGACTTACTGCTGCCAATGTGAGCCAGACTCTCTCTATGGTTGTACACAGGCCAGGCAGGGTGTAACAATGACCCCACACTCCCAGAGCACTCCCCACAGTGACCGAGTCCAAGTCCACAAAACACATATAGACCGGTTGGACAAACTCCTACGCTCCCTTAAATATCCTTGAGGGGAAAACAAACCGATCGAGTGTCCCATGACCAGGACGAAAAGTGCACTTTGAGCTTCCTAACCAGATTGGTCATGTGTGTACAGTAAAGACATGCCTGTCATTTATCCACAGACCCACACGGTTGTATAAATAAACTGTGGTTTCTCGCTGATCCACAGCTGACATGCCCTAAGGGTGGGAAAAAGGAGACTGCTAGCTGGTATAAACAGATGGAAAACGCAACGCAGGTTTCAAAAATAAAAACATCAACAAATGCTTAACAGAAGGAGACACGTCGAGCCTCGAGGACAAGCGAGGGTTTTAGTGAGAAACGTGGACGGAAAAACAACTTCGACGTTTGTTAGGAAAAAGGAAACATGTCCAAGTCTTGTTTTCAGCTTTCAGCTCCACATAAGTGCGTGTTATATTTTTATATTGTGAAAGTAACAAATCAAATTAGTTTGTATGAAAACAACTCGAGTTAGCGGCTCTGCCAGTACCACTTATTCAGATTCCTGCACCATGAGAGAGACAGGCAAGAGACCCGGTTGCCCTTGAACACGGAGGCGTGTTGAGAGCCTTCAGCTGTGAATCATTATTCAGACTGACTTCATCATTAAGAATCATCATAATGAGTATACAGGAATACGCACTGCAGGGGCTTATTGGCTCCCAACAGGGGAAAGGATCTGTCGCCCTGAGATGTGTTTCACTGTCCTGCGTGCTGCCAGCTGGTGCATGTGTGTGTGTGTCTCCACGTAGGCACAATATGTACCCGTGAGTGTGTTTGCGATGCATACAACCAACCAATCAATTCTTTAGAGGCTTCTGCAGCCACGACGTTCCCCCGGTGACATTTTTGTATAATTTATAAAGTCGCTGACATTTTACCTCGCTACGAATGGATCGTAAACGAAGGTGAGCGAGAGAGGAGGGCCAAGGGAGAAATTAATTCCCACCAGCGAGTTAACGATTAAATTAAAGTGAAAATCCCTCTGTGGGGAATTTCAAATATTCCTCAAATTAAATCAATGGTACAAACTTAAACTTTGCTCGACCTAAACAGGAAAGAAGGAAGAGACGTGAAGACAGCTTCAGCCTAATAAACATTTTTATTTTTTATCGCATCGGCGATTTCACGGTTCAGTATTTAAAAATCAGCTCTGGCCAAAGCACCTGATCTTGCAGGGTTTTAGATAAATGAAGCTTTTCAAAACTTGGCAAAGCATTAACGCTACAGTGAGCAGTTAGCTGGATGTCATATACAGGAAGTGAAAAAGACAGATTCGCTCAAAACATTTCAGCAATTCCTGAAACTCCTGACAGGAAAGCACTCCAACATGACCTAATAACTTATTTTAACATCACTACCTCCCCATGCACACACAGTATTAATATTTTTTTGACCTTAAAATACACAATTAGTTTTTGTTTTTTTACCTCATGCTTGTATTTGAGATATTCAGAAAACTTCACATTAAACAACATGTGAAACTCATCACATCTGCTTTGGTTTCCACAAAGCAAAACAACAGATTGAGAGTCGCACTCCAAACCTTCCCTACAGTTCATTTTATTATACAAACAGCATGCTAGACTGCACCCTACAACGTGCTTTGGGACTATTAAAAGAACAGTTCACCCAAAATCTAATTCATGCCTTTTGGAGATATCGGCTGTAGTCGTCTGCCTTTTCTTGAACATAATGGAACAAGATGGCATTTGCTTGCAGGCAGTAAAAAAAGCTATATTTAAAAAAAATTTTTACAGATCGTCTTTCCAGAAATCATGATCCGATTACTCAAAGGAAACACACGAAAGTATTGTGAACAGTAACTATTTGTAGCAACTGTATCACCCTGCAAATAAAAATGACGTATCTACCCATGATGAGAGTCTCAATTTAGGGACAGTGTAATGGGTTTTTCTCCTGAGGCTGGCGAGGCTTATTATTCTTTATGATGGGAGCAACAGGCTTGTATATGACACTATGCCAGAGGCCATCCCAAAAATATCCAAATATTAAAAATGATTAGAGGAATACTTCGCCCACTGTGGATCTGCCAAGATAAATAACAATCACGTACTTGAAACCTACTGTCTGTCTTAATAGCCTTACAGAAACAAAAGAATCTCAACAGGGGAAAAGAAAGGTTGTAATGTTTTCCATTAAGCGTGTGGCTAGGTGGTTTTCAGCCCTTAAAAAACAACTCTTTCCTAATGGTGTCCATCCTCAGCTGACCTTTATTGCTAACTTGCTGCCTGCTTCTTTTGGTTGGTGGATGACGACATCAGGAAGAAAACACTTCCTACATGAAACTGTAACAGCAAGTACCGTGGATTTTATGGCTTCAGCGTGTCATGATTTCTGCACGGAGACACTGCTGCTGAACCTTTTAATTTTAAATGCTATTTTTTAAAAAATTTCAAAGCCTTTCAAAGGATTAAAGGCATACAGACCGGGCGGGAACAAGAGACAGAGGCAACGTTTGCACTCTTCCTCATTAGGGGGGTGATATCTTTAGCAGACAATAACAAAATCCTGAGAAAGGGAAGTGAGTCAGTAGCAGTTTGGCCTTACATACTCGTACAGCTGTGAGAAAACGAAAATATTTCACATGAATCTACGCATACCCACCTCTAGAGCCAATATCTCCAAAACTGACCCACTGATAATAAATCTATCTATAAAGATAAACAGCTCTACAAGCCAGTGGGAAAAACACACCAGTTTGATTCTGGATGAACGGCCTCTTTAAGCACTGCAGAGAATCCCTCCTTTAAGTCCGGTTGAAGGTCTGCTAAGGAGTTGTGTGCACACACTGTTCAGTCCAGGTGACGAGGAACATTTTGCCCACAGGCCAGAAATTCTGCACCTCTATAAATCTGTCATGCTGGATGCGTTTTGCATAGAGTTCAGAGACGCCCACAGACACAAAGCTCACTTTGTGCTGCAAACTCTCACATCGGCTCCGACGACACGAAGGCAGGAAATTAACTACATGTGGCCTAGCAGTCAATTACACTTTTGCTTTTAAAGTGGTTGTAAAAGCAGGAAAATTACAGCATATGCTAGATGACTGGTGTTTCACCACAGCCCCATTCAGCACTCTACCCTCAGCCGCCTCTATCCACATCATCTCTGTTGCTTTGTACGCATGTACTCCCGTATTTAGTAACACTCTTGACTTGCAGTATTTGCGCAAAGCTTCCAAAAAGGGACTATTAATGATTCAACCACTCAAATGAATTCAAAATGTAGTTTAAGTGCAGTGCTAATCTTACCTGTGCCTGTGCCAGTCGGGTCTCCTCCTTGAATCTGGAAAAAAGAAAAGAAAAAATAACCTTTGGGTGACCTCAGCTTCCTCTGCTGCACACTGAAAAACTAAATGCGGGTTTTGTTCTGCAATACAGGAACAAATGATACATCGTTTTTAAGTGTTTTTCTTCCCCAAATGTGACTGTAAATTGATTATCTTTTGGATGGGAGGCTTCTGGATGTTTCATCAGTTTTTAAACATGCGATAAACGACACAATTGACAAAACTAAAGTTTCCCTTCTTGCCAAACACCCAACCTGGGGTCACGTTTCCCTGTTAGAAGCCTGACTCAAAGCTTTCCAGGATACTGGCCCCTATTGTTCATTGTAAACTTGCCCGGTGTTCCTATGAGTGCTTCTACAGTTCCCTGCATTTCTTTAGTGTTCTTGTTTAAAGAGCTTTCTGAACTTTCGACCACCAGGATCACCGTGGAGCACAGTTTTGTTGAGTGGGCCTCCTGTGCTTCCATGCAGAAAACACTTCTAACGTCTTGATGCATGCTCGACCATCCAGGTAAAGAAATCCCCAAAAAGTGGATTCTGTTCATCTGGACGTTCTCAGTGGGAGAAACGTTTCATCATCATCCAGGTGACGCTGTCGGTCTCAGGTGACTGCAGGTTTCTCCAGCATTATAAACCTTATGACTAAAACTAGCACTACTGAAAGAACAATGAGCCGCGAGGTCAGTTCCTTGATCATTAATATGTAAATTGTCACGACCATTGATCAACAACCACCGATCAATGGTGATCAGATGAACAGAATCAACTGTTTTTGGACTTTCTTCTAACAGCACAGGCAGCTGATTATTCTGCATTTTGCACTGTTGCCTTTGAAGCCATGTTCTAAAAAGGAGCCAGGGGAAGAGGAACAAAAGCTCAGAGACAGAGAAGAAAAGAACGGCTGCAGGGAAAGGGAGAAGACAAAGAGCAGGAGCATGTTTGCTCAAACATAATTTGTGGAAACAGGATATTGTTTTAGGTACGGTTTATGCTATGCACGCCCCAGTGTGCCAGCCGTGCAGTTATGCTTTTTCTGCCACCCTTGTTAACCTGCTTCCCCCTCTCTCATTCCTCCTTACTGCTGATTGGCTGTCTTTTGTTGCTGCTGTTTTAACAGTTTTATTTTTCACTAGAATCTAAACTAGTTTTACTGTTCGTTGAATAGTGCAACACAAATAATAATAAAGTTTTTTAATGCAAAAGATCTCTCGTGGCATGAAGGTGGAATCAAACAAACACTGCACCATCTCGAGTGTACTGGTCTCCCATGTTAGAGCTTTAAAAAGGTGCAAAAGACGACAAAAAGCAATGCTTGTAATGCTTCCCCATTAATACAGTAAATAAGCATACATATTATTCAATTAATATTAAACCTGAATTATTAGACGGCTGCATCATGTTGATGTTCAACACGTCTGTGCCTCTCATGTTTCAAAGTAAAACCACCTCTGGATGTTCAGCGATTCACAGGTCCTGCTTTATAGTGACAGTGCTTTTACTGCCACTACCACAGATTTTAAAGTGTTTGTTGCTATGAAATGATTCTCTGTGAGGCCTCCTCTCCTTTTGGGCTGCGGAGGATAAGCTGAAGGCGCTAATGGCAGTGTAATTACGTATAAACAATTCACAGCTTGCCAGTGTGAATGAACGCCACAGGACAGAATGAAAAAGGTAACGGTCCTCTTGAGACCAGATGTCCACTCAGAGCCACTTTAATTATGGAAGCAGCAGCTCTGAAATACACAGATGACGGCTGATCAGACTCGCCGCCTCATATTCTCGGTCTGTGTTTAAAGCTTAAGCTGAAGAGACGCAAATAAAGTCTATCATGATTACAACAAAAACCAATGTAATAAAACACAGATTCTAATTATTCAGGGGTGGAGGATGAACCCAGATATATTCAGGTCATCCTGACTTCTTCATAATGTGAACTCTAATCACTGTTTAAGCCAATATAAATCCTCCACATTTCAGTTAAAAGGCAGCAGGCCGAGCATAGACCATAATTTCCAAATCCATCAGTTCCATCAGCTGTCTGTTTAAGAGCCAATTTGAAGCTTTTAATGAGTAATTAGAGCATCAGCGCCTGACCACTGCACATGTTCTGCAAACTCTTGACCTCTAATACAGTGAAGTTGCATTGATTTAAAAATCTGTGAAAGGAACTTGTGAATCACAGAGGAAGGTCTCAAAGCTCAATCCAGACACGCATTAATTGGTGGCTTTAGTGGAGGAAGGTAAAAGCAGGAAGGTGTTTTAAGCAGGTATTATTTCCTTACCATGAAATTCCGGATGGACCTGTGGAAGATCGTTCCATCGTAGTAGCCCTTTTTGCACAGACGGACGAAATTCTCGCCCGCTTTGGGAACCTTGAGGAAAAATAACGCAGGTGCTTAGCTTTGTGATTTTCTTCTTCACTGCAAGATCAATACTTTTCATTTTATCACCACTCATTTGATAAGTGCCAGCACGAACAGTCAAAAAGTGCCCACTGTGTCAAACTAGTGTCATATACCAATATATGTTTTCTTTCCCACACATATACATAATTGCATAACCTGTTAGCATTTTTCAAGTTCATGATAGTACTTTTGGACAATGACACAATGTTTGTTCTGAAGTTCAGCTTTATTTTGACGTGTTTAACAAAAATATTGCTCTTCCTGTTCAGGAACTGCAGCCGTTTTTATGCATGTTAAAAAAAAAAAAAAAACTTATGGAGCTAAGTGTACTTTCACTCCATCCTCCATGTGAATATTTGACTTCTCTTATTGGAGCTTTAGAAAACACTGAACTGGCTGTATTCCAGCTTTCATGCAGCAGTTACTGTCAGCGTGAAGTTTTACATTCACATAAACAAACTGAGTCGCGCATTTTCAGCTCTGCCTGACCTGCTACAAAATGTTTGTTGTACCCATAAGTCTGTCATGAAGTAGGGCTCGTAGCGAGAAGGCAGGCTTAGTTCACATCTACAACAGAGCGATTTAAATGTTGAAAAATAAAATGGTTCATTGAAGGTGCTTCCTGGGTTATGAAACTTTTAGACGTCTTGTAAATCATTGCAAAACACCAAGCGTCAGGCGCTAATTTTGACTGACTGGTAGTCTGTGAAACGAGGCGGCGACACAGCCCCGGGCAGAAGGCGTGGCTTTGACTATGACGCCGGTCAGGTCTACCGTTATTAATGTCAACAGCCTGGAGGAACACCTCTCTGAGTGTTCGTGCGAGAGAAACACACACCCCCGGCCCGGCAACAACGGTTGGTGGTTTCCCCAGATTTATAAAATACTCCGTTTAAACCTCTTTATTTTAACAGCTCTCTGCTGGTCTTATTTCCACATACATCTTGATTTTGCTGGGGGTGATCAACTCTCTGGCTCCTTTTCCCTCTAACATAAATCCCAGATTTTCCAAGCACTCTGGTACAAAGAGGCTTATTGTTTTAAACCACTAAGCACACGCACACGCACACACACACACACACACACACTAATTTATTTCTATATTTTTGGAATTGAAAAGGACATCTTAAAATAGTTATCTAAGGACAAGCTGTCTGGTTCAACAGATTACTACCACCTCTATGAATAAATACATAACAAATCAATATAAAAGCCTCCTTCTTCCCCCAGTGCTTTAACTTTGATTATTAACCAGTCTCCTGCGTCAGAGACACGTCTGCAAGTCCTCTCCCTCTCGCTGTTGCTGCTTTGTAATAATGGTTAATTTAGCGTGCATGCTTTTGCGTTACTTTGCGAGTCTCTAAAATGCAATTCAATTTAGAAACATGCCTAGGTACCTAAAATTGTCAACAATCAGCTGGTGTCAGCATGGAAACATTTGGTGACGCAGACAAGAAGAAAAAGTAGAAAATGTCCTGATTCACACGTGTTTACAGACTCGCTCACGCTGCCATGCAATCAGGCAGTAATGTGAAAGAGCGGAGGAGCATAAATCCATTAAAATTACTCAATTCATTTACATTTTAGCTGCAGACATTTACTTGTCTGCAGCTGAGATTTTATAGGTCCCACATAATCCACTTCACTAGAATAAATAGTCATCATTGTTTGTGCGTCTTGTTTAACTTTAAACTCACACTCAAAGACAAAAATATCTGACTTTACATTTTCAAAGGTGTTTTTGAATATAATAAAGCTTTGATATCATGGGCGACTGAAGCGCAGGCTCCGTCGGCCAATTACAAAAATCCACCCCCTTGCGGACAGCGAGGGCTGGGCAGGCTGAGTGAGCAAACCTTACATGGAGGTGGGATCTGGGTCTGTGTGACTGAATGTGACAGTGAAGCAGCACTTATTAATTCATAAACAGCAGGCTACGAATAGAGCTGCGATCTTATGAGGAAACCACTGGGGAGGAAGGTGGGGTGGAGGAGGATGTGGGGCACAGAGGGCAGGTTTGTCTAACTGCTGCAACTTTCCCTTCATTATTCTGATTCGACAGCTCAGAAGCCAATGAAAACCAGACGCACGAGGCGCTCGGTTACCAGGGAAGAAATATGTTCCTGGAGTTCACGCTGGCTCTCAGGAGCCCCCCACGTCTAAGCTTAGAAGGGTGAACACTTTGCCAAGACATAAGTTTGGCAAAGTGTGAGGTGGAGACACTGTCTATTTTCACAGTTTCAGGTGAGTCATCCTAAAAGCTATTTATTTAAACACATGCACCAGGAAAAACTTCATTTGAAAACCTTACAGCGGAGAATGAAATCACCCTGTCACCTGAATCAGAGCCTCACAGGCTGCACTTGTAAAACTATTCGTTTTGGCAGTTAGGATTGCTAATATCCAAGTGAAGCCATCTGCTCCTTTCAGGTTCCGCATTGTTTTCATGTAGCCTAATGCAGTGGTTTGGTCCATTGTCTCAATGAACATCTGTTTATGGCCAGCCTCCATTTAAGCCGGTGGTTTTTAAAATGTTATGACAAGAAGCTGAAAGCTTAAACTTTGATTCCTGGTTAGTCTCTTAATAACTGTCAAAAAAAATGTTCGCTTCTTTGGAACATGTTCGACAAAAACTGCAAACTTGACGTGTGTGCATACTCTACACACCTTATTATATGAAACTTTTCTGACAGCTAAGAAGTGAAAACATGTCCAGTCCCACCTTCTTACGCCCACATGTCACTCACCCATTTGTTCTTGTGCTTACGGCACTTCTGCATTTGCTTCATTTCTCCCACCTGAGAGCTACGTCCAGATTTTATACAGAGATTAAAAACAACTCACAAAATCTCAATGCCTGCAGAGACCTAGCTGGCACCGCAAAAACAAAAAGTTATATATTTTTATTTTCCCACAGTCCTTCCTGTGCTAACTGCTAAGAACTGAAACCCCCGACTTACCCTACAAATTTTAATGAGCTTTTATTTTCTAGTTCTGTCCTGCAATGATCATAAGAAAACATCAATGAGGACTGTTACTATACTAACAGTAAAACCTGCTGAATTGCACACTTTCTCCTCAGTTTCTTGTCTTTTCAAAATAAACGTACGACGCTAAACGGCTGAAATCTATTCATTGTATAACACAGATTATTATAATTATTTCCACCTTATCGATTAGCAATTACCATCCAAATTATTCCTACTGTTCATGCGTAAATACGAGCGTTCTTACCTTATCACAGTGCAACTCAAGATTCAGGTCTCCCTTGTTTGTATGCAGGCGTACGTATCCCTTTTTCTTCACATACTGGTAACGCACAGTGTCGTCTGCAATAGCGTCTGTAAAACACGTTTAAATATAAATTTAGTTGACGTGCATATGATGAAAATATTTCATATTTATAGCTGGCACGTCAAGCGGGAACAGTTATTCTGAAAAACAATCTTAAGAGTTCATTGATTGTTTTGTGAGTCTCAGCTTGATGTTGGCACAGGTGAGATCTTTGACCTTTAAAGAGCCTGCATGCGTCTGCAGGGAAAGCTGTTATGTAGATTTATGCCTGAGTGTTTTTCTCCTGTTGACAATCTCCAGATCAAAAAGCCGTTTTTAAACATCAGCGTTTAGCTTTTCACTAGAAACACTGGTTTAAAAAAATAAATACAAATCCCTTCTTGTATTTCGCTAAATAAAGAGCTCTGTATAAATATATTTCAAGCCATTTCATCCCTTCTCAGAAACTTGAACTAGGTCACTAAATCCAAACATTGTCCTCCTTTTCTGAAGTGTGCTGAACCTACTATACAGTTGCATAACAGCAAATCTCTTTCATGAAGCAGCTCAGCGGCTGACAGGAGAAGAAAACGGCAGTCGAAATAAGCAGCTCCCACTTGCAGCTGCATTTAAACCGTGTGAGCGTGAAGCTGCACTTTCCTTTTAAAATAATTAAATAAATAAAAAGAGCACACATGGGCAGCCAGTCGTCCCTGAATGAATGCAGGTCGAAGATGAGCCAAACATTTGTTTTTACGGGGACTCTGTGGAGGCTTTGTGTGTGTGATGTGTTCACTTGCCTGCTTCGTGTGTTGTGGCAGGAGTCATAGCCGTGGATGTGAACGAGGCAGAAACTCTTCCTGTGGAGTAATGAGCCTGAGGGGGAAAAAAAAGAACAAGATAAAAGTTTAAAAAGTCATGCCGATCTGTCATATGTCAATAGAGCTCAAAAGGACGCTGAATATAAATATGATTAAGACAAGAGGTTTACTTAATGCTAAATTCTGGGGGTGTTGTTAGCATCTTTATCATGTGGCACTTGTTACGCCCCTCTGCAGCCCCTAATCTCTATGCAGTGGCAGTGCAAGAGTGTTCAGCTGTTGCTAATTGACCACATCTAGCCAGGTGTGGATAAAGGCATACCCGAGGCAGGCTTTCATGTAGCCACACTAGTCTTCGTCTTAGTGGCAACAGCTATTTTAGCTAACTTGTTACATAGTTGAAAATAAAACCTCTTCTAGTTGAAATTCTGGTGTTACTCTCCATATTTATGTTGCAGCTTTTGAGCCGTTTCGCAAACATAACCGGGGGCTCGTCCGGGATATGAAACCGGGGGCTCGTCCGGGATATGAAACCGGGGGCTCGTCCGGGATATGAAACCGGGACATCTCACACCCCAAGCAAGAATTGTACTCCTAGACTATGATTCTGTTGAGCCAGGTTGAAACAGCATTAAATAACTTTTCTAGTCTTATTGACCACTGGACACACTCATAAGTCATTCTTACACATAAACTTTGCACAACTCTTGATTAAAGTCATGATATCCAAAACACGTAGAACACACCAGGAAAAACTACTACTTTTCTTTGTTTTTAAGTCACCTGAGCAGAGCTAGCAGGAGGCAGGACACATGAGGCTGCTGCCATGTCACCTGTACTATGCAGTATTTGCACTATTCTCATATAAACATAAACTGGTATAATCTGACAGGACTGAAGCTGGCAGGTTCAAGGCTGTTTAATGCCACCTGTTGAGAATTATATAGAACATCAGAGGTGCAACAAATGTGCAAGAACAGCCTTTTAGCAGTCACATCAATGGTGGCAGAATAATCTGGGGTTCAGTATTTTCCCCCAGGACACTTGGATATACAGGCTGGAGGAGCTGGGGAATGAACCACTGACCTACTGATTCAGGATGACCTGCTTTAAGTCCCAAGGGAGGGGCACAGGTATGAAAAAAAGCCAGTATGTGGATCTCAAGCTTCTGTGCTGCTTTAGTGTCTTTGTATTATTCTAGATGCAGGGAAAATATATAAAATTTTACAATGTAATTATTACATACTTAAAAAAAAACTCATCACTTTCTCTCATTATTGTACATTTTTCTCTACTGTGAAATAATCCCTGGAGCTCAGAGGCAGCCAGGGCAGATATTTCCTCATTAAAAAGGCCTGAAGGTTCATCCACCAGTTGAGGAAGCGTCTTCTCCACTCGTCATATCTTTCCAGCCTCATACTCGAATGGCCCCCTCGTTTGCTCTAAAGGGCGTGTGAGCTTTTCCAGGCTCCGCATGATTAAGAGCCAAGAACAGAAAGATTTCTATCACGTTATAATTACGGAGCACCAGAGAAGTTATCTGAGCTTAAATTATAGTAGAAAGCGATTGTTGGATCATAATATACACCTAACAATACCAGAAACATGTGATAAGGCGGCTAGAGTTATTCAAGTGAAAGAATAACAACTCTGAAGATTAAAGCAGAGAAGTGAAAATGGATTTCAAAAGCTAAAAGTCTGTTCTTCAGTCCCCGCTTAGCATTCTTCTGCTCCAGTTCTTGTGAAGGCGCATGAAAGTGCAGACTTCACCTTGCACGCTCTGTCTGACCTATATTCCCTCTTCTCTCAGATGCTGTCAAAGCGTCACTATGAACTCGACACAGAGAGCGACCAAGGATGAGCTGTGCTGTAAAAATGAGGCACAGCGCAGCATCAAAGGAGAGCTGATAAGAAAGAAGGTGTAGCTGCGGCTCAAATTGAATCAGCCGTCATCCTTCCAGTAATTCAAGGGCACAGTCACGGCGGTAACGTCACCGCCAGTGACCTCCTTTGTTACACATCGGTCTGTGTGTGCGAGTGTTCCCCAGAGGTATGATGACTGAGAGCAGGCCTGGAGGAAGGTTACATTATGTATATGTTGAGTTTTCAAATGGATATAAACATGTTCCACATTTTACTCTCTCTGGTTCTGACACTGATGTTATTTTTTATCAACAATATTTTACATGCAAAATATTATCCATCAATCTCCCTTAGATTACGGTAAATATATTTTATTCTTTGTTGTTTCTGTTCCTGGATACAGCTGGGCTTTATCTGGTGTTTGTTTTTGTTTTCTCATCCACAATACTGTGAATATATTTTCTAATATATGGCTCCCTCCTGTGGACAAAGTCAAACTAGCACATCTTCACCTGGTTCAGAAGGCTCTCTTAAACCTGCAGCAGTGACGTGACTAAATAACTGAAAAATCTCCTAAATTATGTTAAATTAGTTCTCAGCAATGACATTTGATTAACTGTCAGCTTCATTACTAGTTTTGAGCTTGTCCAAAAGTAAAGAAATATGAAATAAAATAATGTAACAGTTTAGTGAAACAGGTTCAGGTCACATCCTGTCGGCTTCACTTCAAATCCAGTGTGGTGCCGTGTCGGCAAAACGGAGGAAAAGTGCATCCTTGTCTAAATACTTCTGCACGTGGCACAGTTTCCATCACCTGGTCTAAATGTTGGGACTTTTCCTTCAGCAGCTTAGAAGCTTGGACACCCGAGCCTGGACAGTTTTTAAATTATTATTTATATTCTTAATAACCATTTATGAGTCTTTGTGATTCGCCATCATATTGGCCAAAGATCCCTATAAGACTAATTCATTGCTCATAGCAAATAAGATGGTGTTTACTAATCAAGTAACCAAACGCAGCAAGATGAGAAGCTCAAAGGTTTAAAATCAGCAGTGAGTTTTTCCAAAGGTGGGAGAAACCAGAGTTTCTGAGAAAACCTATGTAAGCAAAGAGAGAACATCCAACAACCCAAGACCCTCTTACTATGAGACTGCTGTCCAAATATATTATCTAATCTTATTAACTAAAGTCACTACTAGCAACTTGGTTTTTCAGGCATTTGACTCTACATCACCTTAAGTTAGCGATTAAACTCTGCTGTGGACACAGACAGCTGCAGATAACAGCAGCAGATGAGATGTCTAAGTCCACCCAAAAGGTGAAGGCGTTGAATTAGAGACTGACCAATATATTAACTGGTATTAAATATTGCAGATAAATTAGTGTGTCGGCATTTATAAAAGAGATGGGAGAAACACCCTTCACCCATCTTGAAGGGTTGATGCTTTTGTCCATCAGGGGGAACTCCGTTTCCAGGAGGAGTCAAGCAGAACATAAACAAGTAAATAAATAACTACACATGCTACACACTACACAACTCTGTTTAGGTTTTTACACGTGAAAGAAAACATATCAGATTTTTAAATCACTAAATATTGGCATCGGTTTTAAAAATCCCACAGTGGTCAGGCTCTAGTCTGCACTATAAATGGAGAACGGGTGGAATCTGACTCCACCTTCAGGTTTCTGGGCACCCACATGTCCACTGACCATGTCCTACAACACCATCGCCCTGGTAAAGAAGGCCCAGCAGCAGCTGTACTTCCTCGTGTCCTGAGGAAGAAGAACCTGGACGAGAAGCTGCTGCTGGCCTTCTACTGCTCCTCAGTAGAGAGCCTGTGCTCCTCCTACCTGGATGTTTGGTACGCAGGGGTCACGACTGAGAACAGGAAGGCTGACAGAGAGTAATTAACACCGCCCCCAAAATCACTGGCTACCCTCTGCTGCCCCGAGACCATCGTCAGATCCTCCTGTCTCAGGAAAACTAGAGCCAACATAGGTGACACCTTGTACCCACCATCTCACCAATCTGAGCCAATGGTCTGAATAGCCCTCATCACTCAGGCCACTCACACACGGACCCTATACTCAGACCAAGTCCTTTGCACTGCTTCCAAACACTTTGGCCTCCAGTGTCTGCATTTTCTCCTGTCTGTTATTTATTCTGTTGTCTTATTATTTATATTTAACTCCTGCACAGTTGTTGTGGAGCACCCATCATTTCGTTGTACATGTAGAATGACAATAAAGGGCTCTTCTATTCTATTCTATGGTCACAAAGGCATTGCTGCGCATGGAGCCTTGCAATGATGAAACCAGGAGCTATAAAGAGGCTTTAAGGATCATAGTGAGGATGGTTTTCTTACAGCATTTAATTTGTCCGTCTTCTTGGCCTGCGGCTCCTTCATGGTGGAAGCCAGCAGTTCATCCCCTTTGTATTCTTTATAAAGCTCCGCTAAAGTCTCCCTCGTCTCCAGATTGGTGGTCTTCAGATGGTATGCTGGGTCCTGCTTAGCCTTTTCCTCATCTGAAACATGCCAGAAAGAGCAAGAGAAAAAGGATGATTTTACCATAGCACATTTATATAATGCGAGAATTACCCATCACCAGAAAAATACTGATAGCTCACCTGGGTCCAACACTTTCAGGTCGTTCTTGACATGGAAAAAGTTGGAGACGTTGAACTTATCCAGGTTTGTGGGGTCCTAAGAAGAGAAAACAACGTCTCTGTTCCTCAAATAAAAGTACTCTTTCATTGTGTAGGTGGATAAAAATCGTGAAACAACGTCTCACCTGAAGAGTTATAATATCTTTTCTTGTGAAGGGTTCATCTGTGAGCAGATCTTTAAAACTTTTGGTCTTAATGTTTAACTGCTCAACTGCCTGCATGAAAACAGAAATATTAGAAAGAAAAGCCTCTGTTGGTCATAAGGAAAACAAACGTGGGCAGCAGGTAAAATTAAATTATATGTGTTTCCTTTAAGTTTAACACAAGCTTAGTATCACTACAACTGAATGAACAACCCTTTGTGGAATTCATCTGTAAAAATAAACAGAACAACACTGTTTTTTGTTTGGAGAGAGATTTTTTGCACACAGCTAATTCTGTGTGATGTAAGGCAGCATCTTGTGAGACCATGTGGGCTGAGCATCTGCACTGTATCACGCCAAGACCAAAATCAATATCATCTCTTTCTCCATGTGCGTAATTTTAGACATCGATTTCTGTCTGAAAAGCATCATCGTGAGGATCAATGCAGCAAGAGCACGAGTTCACTGACCTCATAAGAAAACACATTCCCGGTGACCTTGTTGGCAACAATGTGAGAATTATTTGTGAAGACGTTGTACAGAACAGGGCAGTGATACTTTCCTGGAACAAAACGAAGCAAAGAAAAAAAAAAGTGAGAGAGCAGCAGGCTGAGCAGCAGAGTCCAATCTGCTGCCAGGGGCTGAATCCACTCAAGAAGTCAACGAGTATCTCATGCAATCCTCTGCTGAATTATATCACATCTTCTCCCCTCACTTGCTTTTTTGGATTTTTATTCCTCCAACCCCTTTTAAGTCAAGCTTTCTTTTTTAAGGTTCCCCTCACACAAAGCAAAGCAGTAAGAAAAGTGTGGATTTAAAAGAAAAATAAAGCCTGCATGATTTCAGTGACTATGACCTGGCAAACTGGGCTAATGACAGTATTAAATTTCTTCTACATGCAACTTGTTGTGCCTCAGGTGCATCAAAGCGTAAGCATATTTACCATCATTGTTCTTGGCTAAGTTAAGTTTGATGAGGGACTTTGCTTCCAGTTTCTGTGGAGGAAAAGAACAAATTTGCTTCTCAAACTGTACAACAGTGCTTGCGCTACAAGTACAACCACAAATGGATCATCATCTTACAGAGATCAGTTTCCAGCTGTGACATGGGGGAAATTGTAGAGATGTGCTTCATGATGCATGCTCAATCATCCAGGTAAGTAAATCCCCAAAGTTGATTCTGTTCATCAGGACGTAGCGTTTTCAGTGGGAGAAACGTATCGTCAGTCATCCAAGTGACTTCTTCTATGTGAAAAGGGAAAGACTCTGAATCGAGGAGGGGGCCTAAGGGTACATCTTTTGCCATCTTACAATGCTGTGATTGCAGCCATTCCCCAACTCTCTGTGAA